TCGACCAGGACCCCCAGGTCCCTTTTCCACTGAGCTCCTTTCCAGCCTCTTGCTCTCCTTTCCCACTTCGACAATGTCAACAGCTCTGTCACATCCCTCCTAAGATACTGTATTAGTTGTCCTATCCCATATTTTCACAGTCAGAAATTGAACCCTCTTCTCCAGGACACAGCTCCTGGTTGAATTTGGAGTGGAAGGAAATGGTGTGGAAATGGGTTCATGTTGTCTAATTTCAGCCTTAATCAAGTCTCCCTCTCAACTGCCTTCATGCTGAGGTTGGAAGTAGAAGTTTGTGAGCGTCTCCCTCAGCCCTTTGTTCTCCTCTCCCTGTGCTGTGTTGTTCACCTGGTGAACAGAGTCTGTAATTCCAGCTTCAATAAATCTTGGTTATTTCCATCAACCCTTACAGTTCTTTTTGGAGACACTGTGAGAGGCCCATCTTATTTCTCACCTTTATTACCTGTCTTGTACTAGCCCGAGCTGGAGGGAGTGTGTTTGTCTCTCTCTTTCTCTCTGTTGTGTAATTTTTCTCTATATCTTCAGGTTTTGATGAGGATTGGAAAAGAAATTTTCTTTTGGAATCACTAAACATTTCACTGGCAATAAGAGCCATTATCTTATCCATCTCCAGTCAGCGTTTCATGCCCTGAATTCCTGATAAGGGAACAATCTTGTAACAGGCAATCAGAAATGGCATCATTAAAATTAGAGATGTAAATGGAATCTACAGGGCTGAGAGGGCACCAGGACACTCACTCTGCAACAGGAGATCCTGTAACTCTCTGAAGATGAGCTTTGAAGGCTTCTTGGTGTCATATTAGAGGAGTTCCCGTTAGATTTCTGCTTCTGGGTGGAATAAAAACCATATGGGAGCTGTAAGAGAGGTCATTTCAATCCCTTGCTTGGTGATTTTATGTGACACAGGTTGGAAAACTTGTGATATTCTGTCCCTCCTAATGGACAAATGGGGAGAGAGGCAGGAAGAGGGTTGGAAGGGGGTTGTTTTGGGAGGAGTCTCAGACAAGCAACTTCTGATGCAAACATTTACTGCTGGTAAAGTACAGACCCTGGCAGAACTTGTCACCATTCAGATAAATCCTTTTTTCTTTCTTATTTTTAAATTTTCTTTTTTTTCTTTTCCTATCAGCAGCTGCATGCAACATCTCCCCATTGGTGGAATAAATCTGATAAAAAAAAAAAATGTAGTTGTAAGCAGCAACGATTTTATCCTCGTGGAAAGATTTTATCCATCAGAAAAAATGTTGTGCCTGGGCATAATTTTTCAGATATGATGAACAACAGCATAGTGTGACCCTCAGTCCTGAGGATTTAATTTTAAAAGAACTACTGAGTGTATCAGATATAGTCAACTTTTTTCTCCCCTATCATTTTTTTCACAGGCAGGGCTCGGTTTATAGATACATCTTGACAAAGATCTGCCACAGGCAAATTTCAACAAAAGAGCAACTTCAAACACATCCAATTAACAATTTATGAAAGGAAATCCAACAGAAAATTGCACAGAGATTCGCGGGGCATAAAGTTTGGCACTAAATCAAATTTAATGTGGAAATGCCTGTGTAGGGAGTTATGGCCCCTTCCAGTGCGTTGTCAAAGGGAACTTTATCTGTGGAGGCTCAGTGAGTGCCCTCCATCAGATCTTTCCTTGCTATAAATAAAGTGTTTTGTCAGACATGGCAATGAACATAACTCAGAGGGGAATGAAGACCACTGATAAGCCAAGCTACGCTGCAGCTTTTAGTCAGAAGTATCAGAAGTGATTAGATTTCTTCACACTTCCAAATCTAGGATTCGTTCACTTTATCAAAGAAATGAGGGGCTCTGTACCATGGGCAATACAAAATCACTTTTCATTCGTTAGCACAGCACACACACCCTGAAAGCAGGTCATGGTGACTGTATTTAATATTATTATGGAGCCATTTTCATGTCTGGAAGGAAATATCAGCCCCCCCTCCCCTTCCTTTATCCTGTTGTTTACTGATTTACTTATTCAGCAGGCATGGTTGGATATTTTGGGAAGATGTTAAGGATACAAACTCATGTCATTGCCTTCAGCAGCTCTGAAATTAACTTAGGTCACTGCTTTGTTTAGAGGAAAGGATCTCTGTCTAGACCATTACCTGTTTAAACCCAGGAATAGCTGGATTTTGTAGGAGCTCACTGAGCAGCATCTCTTGCAACCTCTGAATGATTTGGAGGGGGGACATGTCATTTACAGATACCAGGACCAGCTAGTGAGGATGAGTAAGAGAGCTGACACAGGCCAAGATCAAGGACATTTGGGATACAACTGTGCTATTCCATGGACTAATATAATTATTTGAAGAGTTCTTTGCTGTGTTTCTGGCTCTGCTGTTATTCCTGTGCTCCCACATCAGAGCATTTGACATTTGAACACTTGTAAACTTGTTGTCTTCCACTGAAACTCGTTCTGCATAGCAAAGCAGGGTTTTAAATGTCCACTCATGTGCAGTTAGGTCCGTGGTGCAGTGTCCTTGCTGTAACCAGAGTAGACAAATTTCATCAGAGCAGTTCTGCATTTTCAGAGATCAGAAATTTGGGCTCTTCCAGGCTCCTTGATGATGTGCTGCAGAGCTGCCTCTGCTTGTCTTAGTTAACCCACTGGTGAAGATGAGAGGACACCTCTGTCAGTATGAATGAAGCATTAGAATACCCCAGGGATTTTTTTTCTGTAGTCCATTAATACATGCTTTTGGCACTGAAGAACTCTACCAGAGAAGTTAGTGTCCAAGGCACGTAATAATTAGTGGATAAAACACCCCCAGAGTATCTTGATCCCATTAAAATATGTCTTTTAAAGTGTAAATGAATGTTAACCTAATTTTAAATGATGATTATCTTCCTGTAACACACCCTTTCTCAGTAGATAAAGGATCCCTGGGAAGCAGAAGGTGAAACAGTAAGACAATAATGTCTGAGATTTTCATCTGTTCATATTTTGAATGATACTTGACTGGTTGCTGCTGAGTTTTCTGTTTCCCTCTACTTCTTCCACCACCCCTCTCCCTTCACCACATTGTGTTATTTTCCTTGTCTCCAACTTGGTATGGTGATAATAATAATAATAATTAACTAACTTAACAAGAGAAAAACTTCATTTAGGCAAACACAAAAATTCTTTGGTTTCTAAATACAGAAATTGTACGCTTTTTAAAGAATTAAAGAAAAGTTAGAGATTTAAATAGGAATTTACAGATGCCTGATATTCTTTAAAGTTTAACCAGCCACAGAGTCTGTATGTGTTAAATATTACTCATTTTCTCAATGCCTCCTCCACAGTTCCTGCAAGGCAGATCTCTGAGCAAAAGAAAAGATAGCAAAGACAGCAAAGGCCTTTATTTTTCAGGCACAATTTGTTGAAAAGCCCCAGGTCTTGTGCTTCACATAGAACTGAACATCCCCCCGAGTACTTGTGCTTGTTTTCCCCTATGGCTTTCAGAGATTTCAGGACATTCAGGTTAAGGATGTGCTGTGTCCATTGCCATTTCTTCTTTCAGCTTCAGAGCATCAGAAGCACTTGGTTGGCTTTTATATTTTAACTTTTGGTTGGGAGTCAAAGCTCATCTAAAGACCATGGGATCCAAGAGGATGATGGGCACTGTTAAAGTGGAGTACTCGTGCAGTGGGAGGGTTGGAGCCTTCAGTGCCATTAATTTAGAGCTTGAGCTCAGCCTGCAAACCACCCTTGTGTCAGTTCATTGTCTTAGTCCAGTCTAGACTGAACCTGACAGGCACAGGAGCTAAAGGCAGGGAGGAGAAGACCTTGTTAAACCTCTGCCCCTTCCTGCAGTGCACATCCAACTGGACCTTGAGCGTTTTAAAATGGGATCTGAATATGAATGTAGCTTTCAAAGGTAGTATGAACATCTGTCTACCTAGAAAATTGGTATCTGAGGGCTTAGAAAATAAGTTGGGGACTTTTAAAAAAGAGGAGAGTGACTTATTACATGGGCAGATAGTGATAGGACATGGGGCGGGGGGGATGATTTTAAAATAAAAGAGAAGAGATTTAGATGAGATATTAGGAAGAATTTCTTTATTCAGAGGGTGGTGAGGCACTGGAACAATTTTCCCAGAGAAGTTGTTGGTGTCCCATCCCTGGAAGTGTCCAAGGCCAGGTTGGATGGAGCTTGCAGTAACTGGTCTAGTGGAAAGTGTCCCTGCCCATGGCAGGGGTTGGCACTGGATAAGCTTTAAGGTCCCTTCCAGCCCAATTCTTCCAATCCGTTCTGTGATTCTCTGTGGGGATTCTTGCTTGGGTGACTCTTAAAAGGTCTGGGGAGGAGCAAGGATGATCAGCTCCACAGGTGACGCCAGAAGGAACGTGGGATTCCTAAACAGGAAGGAGAAGAGTTGTGTTTCAGCTCTTATTACTGAAGTTCTGAGATCCACATCTGGGATCCGATGTGTCAGCAAAATCAGGTCTACTCTGCAGAGTGACCACCACAAACCTGTGAGTTGCTCAAGCTGGTGACTCTGAGCCACATTCCTGTGATGATTTCTCCTTCCATGAGCTGTTTTGTTTATCCATCTCATAAATGGGCAAGCTTGGATCCTTTGTTATTTTGAACATTGGAAGTTGGTTCATAAAATCTTCAAGACAAATTATTTGGCTTTCTGTGTGCCTGAGAAGGTGTCCAATTCCAGAAGAATTTGCAGGAAAGCACAACAAGGTAAATGTGTCCCTTTTTAAAACGCGCATTAGGGTTTTGTTCTGTCAGAAGTGCTGGAAAATTGAAGTTGGTTGCTGGGGCTCCAAAGTAGCTCAGGAGATTTGAATTCAGGTCCTAACATTTCCTTTGAGACTTGAAATGCTTCCTCTCATGGAACTTACTTTTCTCCTCTTCACCTTTTTGCGATCTATTATATTAATATTTTCCTTTCCCACTCCAAGACTGGGTAAAACTGAATGACATTTACACTTCCTTCCCTTTCTGTCTGCTCTCCCATCTCAGCAGAGCCCCAAGACCCCCTTCTCTGACCTACCTGATGATGAGAAGATCTTTAACGGGGGAGACGCCACGTGGCAGGGCCAGAGCCAGGACCAAGCGTTGCTCTCGGAAATCACGGAGGAGGATCTGGAGGCCATCCGGCAGCGGGAAGAGGCCATTCAGCAGATTGAGGTCAGTGAACTCCTCCCATCGTGAATTTGTGAGCAGGAATTGCAGGTCCCTTGTGCTGGGCTGAAGGAAATGCCGATTGCCGTCGCTGCCAGGGCAGCCTCACTAAAAAATGGGAGAGATTATCAATGGCTTCTAAAAATGGGAATCGGTGACAGGAGGAAGAGTTAGAAATCCATATGAATAGTGCTGGAAATTACAGGGATTAATTGATGTTCGTGGGCTAATGATTGGGTTCTTTTCCATGAGCCTCACATGGCACAGTCTGTAGTGAGGGAGTTTGAGGTGGATTCTGCAGCACATCAACTTTTCTTGGTGCACACAAACTCAAAACTGGAATTTGCCACAGACAGAAAATATTCTGCTTTACCACGAGAGAGAATAATAGGTGGGCAAAAGGAAATAGCTTGTTAACCTTTTCAAATTATTCAATATTTTGCTGTATCAAAGTATTTGGACGTTCTTGGTGGAGTTAAAAAAGACATACTATTTTTATTCCTTCTTTTTCCAAGGTACTGTAAAAATGTGAAATAAAAGGAACAAAAAGAGGCCTGAATACGTTAAACATCCCACATTTTTCTTTTTATACTTCTCTTTTTATGCTTTTGGGAAACTCTTGTTACTTAAATTTAAGCGATAAATGGGTAAAACAAGAACATGCTAAATCTTTCTAATTTGTATGCTTTTACAGGCCTAAACTCGAGATGAACCAAAAAAAAAAAAAAAAAAAGAGGGCTTCAGAATAATCAGAACATTTAATTAAGGACTATACTTTGTCCTTTAATTGGATTGTGCTAATTTTATCAGAATAGATTTTGGTTGCGGTACAGCAGGAATTGTGATTAAGTTAACAGAGCAAAAAGGGGACAAACATTCCTGCTGTAGAGTGCAGCTCTGAGGCTGTGACCTCTGTTTGCAAACAGTGATGGATAAATCTGATCCAGCTCCCTAAGTAAGAAATTTTGACAGTTTTACAGGAGGGGGTCGAGGTTAGTGTGTGTCTAATTTCTGTTATGGCTCTCTGAACAGAAATGAATGAGCTTTTTGGGCTTGTGTCCCTTACTAGGAATGAAATTGTTAAAGAGTATTCTCACACGGAGGATCTTTGGGTGGGAATTGTCTTTTCATACTTGAGGGATCTCATTGTACCCACCAGGACAAACTGGAGGGAACTTTGTGGCAAGAAAATGCGTGTTTTGGGCTGTTCCTGCACTCTGATGTTCAAGAAGGTTGGTAGCAAATGTGCTTCTGAAATGATATTGTGGACCACAACTCCAGCTCACTGGAGATAATCCAGAACATTCTGGACACATCCCTGTGCTCTGGGATGACCCTGCTTGAGCAGATGACCCGTTGTGGTCCCTTCCAGCCTCACCCATTCTGTGATTCTGTGATTTTGTGATCCTTCTGTTTGAGATACAGTCAATGTCTTTTTCTTCCTGTCTTTATGTCGCCCCTGTTCTCCCCAGGAAACAAAAAACCCCACATTTAGTGTTTGCCCATTGGGGATTGAGCAACCCTAAGCTGGCCTCAAGCTCAACAGCTTTGGAAAACCAGGAGCTGCAGTTGTGTCTCCTCAGAGACATATTTATTTTCTGGTTAAATCCCATTTCTGTGCCACAGGCTGCTATCTCTGCATTAGGCTGCACTGGACCACATGGCCATGGTGGGGTAATTGAGGTGGGTTGAGTGAATCCAGTCACAGTCCCAAATAACTCCTAAAAAATTACCACAGTCATGTACTGTGCAGATTTTGTATCTATTGATTTGATCCTGGATACCTTTTCAATATGAATTTACCTCTGAATAACTTAATATATGCAATTAATGATTTAGTCAGTTAATATTGATTAGGTTTTTGCTTCCTAGGAATGTGTGCACTTTCCTTTTACCTGTTTTTTTTTTCCCCAATATCCTGTATCCCTTTTTCTTTGCTCTCCAAGATTCCATGTTCATCCTGTGAGGAGGGCTGCATTCCACAAACATTATTTCAAATGTAGCTTAAACAATTTTCTTCAGGAGGAAAACATTTAGGACTGGTGGCATTTTATTTAACATCTCTTTTGAAAGAAATGTAATGAAAATGAGGATTTTTGGACTGCATTGTACCTCTCCCCAGCTGCATTTGAATAAGCAGATGGTACTTTTTAAATAATTTTCACTGTGTTTTGTTTTTCTGTTTGTTGACCCACATGAACATATTTCTTGTGAAAGGACTCATCTTGTACATTAAAACTTCCCTGTTTTCAGCAGAAGTTGTGGGTGCACAGAGAAGGGATTCACTGAGCTCATAGTCACCATAACAACTTTCCCCCAACATGGTCTCAGAACCACTGAGTAACCAAGAAGGTTAAAACGAAACATTATTCTTAACTGTCAAACACAACTAATAAACTAAATTTATTGCCAAATTGATGTATAGCACTTGTTCTCCTTTGTTCTTTGGGGACCAGAATGAAGAATAGAGCTGGGCAGAACTTGTCTTATGCAAGTAGATTGCTCTCAGTGGGATTTTTGTGTTGCTGCATGTCGAGCACCAAGAACACGTGGATCTTGAGAAGCATAGAGGAGATCGCAGATCATTGATGGAACATCATAAATTCTGGACCACACTAATTACACACAACTTTGGAGGAGCTCATAGTGCAGCTCATGTGGCTTTCTTTTTTTCTTTCTTTCTTTTTTTTTTTTAAGGGACATTGAATTTGCCCTTTTTGCAAGAACAGGTATAACACCTTTCTGATTGCTAAAGAAATGAGAGAATAAATCCTCTTCCCGTCTTGTGTCCTGAAAAACAGATATAAAATCCTGCCCATAATAGACTTTTTTCTTAATGTTCCAATTACTTTTTCCCACTTGTGTGTTTTCCACATCTCCAGAGTCTCTTCAGAGGTTCAGGTTAATGGGACATTGTTCTCTGTCATGGACATCCCTCGAGGCACTTTGCAGCGTTCACAGTTTCCACCTAGACAGATAAGAACCATGTCAAAAGTTCAGCTGGCTGTTCATTTTATTTAAATGTGCTACTTTTGCTATTGCTTGCAGATTAAAACCAGAGAAGTCTGCAAGAGACATGTCTCGCCAAAACCTTACATTTTGGATAAAGATCTTTATTGCTTGGAAATGTCAAAATCTGGTAGGACACAGCAGCCCTGACACAAGTGTTATTTCTTAAAATATTGCTTTGAACTGTTATATAAAACCTATTTTAACTTGAACTGTATTGGCAGTGAATAATAGATGCCATAACAACTTTATATATAGCACTGTAAAATGTGCCATCAGAAATACATGAGCTGAACTGTAATGTGCATTGTCAGTGCTCAGTGCTGGCACAGGCTCTGTCACAGCAAATATATATAATTTAGCATCCCATGCCTTTCATTTCCACCTGTGGTCATGTGAAAAATGGGGGTGATAAAAGTTTGGGAAGAAATGGATAAGTATTGAATGGAGAACTTCACAGAATTTCAGCTGCTGACTGGAAGACCTGGAAGAAAGATGCTAAATGCTATATTGATTCAAAAGGCCTCCAGTGATTCTCCCAATGCAGACAGCTTCTCCAGAGGTGATGAGAAAGGAAGATTAATAAAAACCCTTCCAGACCACACCATCATTTGCTTGGAGTCACCAGCAGGTCATTCCATCTCCTCCACAACCTTTCTTTCCTTTCTCATACCAGTTTTCCATCCCTGTGCTTCCCAGGCTGCTCACACAGCAGTGGGAATTTCCCCTACCATGAAGAGTAGGAAGCAACTTGATCTAGTGGAAAATGTCCCTTTCCATGACAGAGGGTTGTAACTGGATGATCTTTAAGGTCCCTTCCAACCCAAACCATTCTAGAATTCTGTAATATCCTGAAGAAAGCAAAGCACGCCAACAGAGCTGCATTTTAGTTGATGCTTCTCTTGGCAAAAGAGAAGTGGAGATGGATAGGTTGTGGCAACAGGTGTGAGGAAAATGCTTTTATTTTTAGGAGAGGTTGTTCCCTCTGGGTGGTTGTTGAGGAATGTTGATGTTTGTTCCCTCTCTGTTTTGAAGAGCAGTGATAGATGGCAGCCTCCACGCCTGTCACTCAAGCGTTTGTAAGCAGACAGAAAATGAAATACAATAAAAATAAAACAACAACAACAACAACAACAGCCCCACAGAGTCTGCCAGAGTGTGTTTGTTAGTTCAGACACGTTCCTTGTTCACTCATTACCACGTAGCATTTCTTGCTGAGGGGTATTTTTGGTAAAATCTTGCAGTTTAGGAGGTTTAGTGCAATTCCTGTTTTATACCTTTCATCAGCTTCAATAGTCCAGGGCTTTGACTTATGAGGGCTCTGCCTGCCTCTTCACAGAGACTTTTTGACTCAGGGTAATGTATAAATAACACAATATCATGACAAGCACCGTCAGTGAACGATCTGGAGCCGTGTGAGTGTCAAAAGCAGCATCTTCTCATGGCAGCTTGGAGGAGCCTAATTATCATGAGCAGCAGAGCTGCCTGAGAGGTTGACATGACCATCCCTGGGACTTGGTATTGAGTTGTTCCCTAAAGAATCCGCTCCAGTATCCTGCCCACTCTAATTTAAAATGACCTGAGCTGCAGGACTACCACCATTTATTTCGGGAGACTATTTCACGGTCCAGCAGGCTGCGGTGTTGATGAAATGCTTCCCTCTGCTCCTGCTAAAGATCCCTTTCTCATTCTCAGCTTTTTACACCTAGTGAAACTCTACTGGACCCTGCAAATAATTCCTCTTCCCCTTTGGCTTTTAAACTCCTCAAATGCTCACAGTTATCCTCCTCTTCACAAGTCAGTCTCTCTTGCTTTTCAGTCACTTCAGTGCTCTCTTCTCAATTATTTCCCATTTGTTAGTTCCTTGCTCCTCCAGCAGCAGACCATATATAGGATTTTGTTGTACCACAGCTGAACAGAAGAAATGTGTAAAAAAATAAACAACACCCGTGGATCCAATTCAGGGCTTACAAGTGCTGATGGAAAAATTCTAGATA